GAAAGAGTCAGCAAAGGTGGACCCAGCTCTGAGCCAAGAGACCATGGGCTCTGACCTGTCACTGCCACTAGAGGGGGCCTGAGCCAGAAGCAAAGGAGTGAATGAAGCAGAGGCTGAGCTGAGCCTGCAGGAACCCCAACCCAGAGACATGAAGCATTGACCTGCCATGCCATAGCAGCCATTGCCCTTGGACCTGACCAATCTCAGCCTGCACACTCCAGAAGCAGGCTGGTTTGGCCAGCCCTTGTGCTTCTTGTAGAAAAACAGGTGGGAGATGTGGGTGTGGGGGTGGGAAGAAGAAATGGCATGGAGAACAAGGAGGACCAGGAGGGCCGAAGGGCCTTGCCTGTTCTGGGGGTCTTGATGAGCACCTGGTGTGTACTATGAGGCTGAGGTGTACCTGGTGTGTATCAGGGATCTGGGCATGCACCTGATTTGGATTGGGGGGCTGAGTGTTCACCTCATGTGTACTGGGGGCTGGGCATGCACATGGTGTGTACTTGAGGGAGTGCACTTGGTGCATACTGGAAGGCTGGGCGTACATCTGGTCTATATTTTGGGGGTCGAGCGTGCACATGGTGTGTCGGGAGGCTGAGTGTGTACCTGGTGTGTAGGAGAGCTTTTTTATACGTGAGAGGCAGTTACAGGCCAGGAGAGTTCTGAACAGAGTGACAAAATAGGCTCTTAGGTGGAGAAGGGTGGATCAGAGGCCAGGGAAACTGGTGGCTTAGGGAGGCTCGTAGAGGCTGAGGTTGAGGGTGAGTGGAGATAGATTGTTGCATGAAGAAGTTCCAGTGAGCACACACTGATAATTTCCTAGGGCCACCCCCGAGTTCTCCCTGGGGCCTCACACCTGTCACACTCTGTGGGTAGAGGCCTCGCTGGATTTGGGAGAGAACTGCCACGTGGTGGGCATGCTATAGATGAGACAGGACTTCACCCAAATGGGAGGTCCTAGGCCTTGCCCATGCTCCTCAGATGTATGCCTATGGGGGCTCCTTCAAATGTCCACAGAATTTATGACCATGGAATTCTGCAAAGCAGCTTTCCCTCCTTCATTAGATTTAGTCTTAGGAAGGAAAAAAAGGAGGGGGAATTAGATTAAAAAGACCTAGAGTAATATGTGACCTGTTTAGGGTTGTCATGGTGCCCTACAGTGAACCTGAGCTCAGGCCAATCTGATCTGGCAACCTCAGACCCAGATCTGGTGACAGGCGGGTAATGAGGACGCTGGATATGGACCATATGTAGCAAGAGCTATCCCAAAACAAGCTGCCCACCTCATGTTTCTCACGTTTGAGAGATGTGGGATTAAAACAAATATTTCACTTTCTTTTTCCTCTCAAAAAACAACAGTGCCTGTGTCAAGGTAAATAGATATCAGGATTGGGAGACACCAGAGCTGAGTGGGGACTGTGGTGACCTGGAGGGTGGGGCAATGTGCAGACTGAAGAGGGGGCAGGGCCACCTAGATCACAAGGCATCAGCGTGGGCTCATGGAGGCCTCCTTGATCTGCAGATCCCATTACATATAGGTGTTAGATCAACAAGGAAACATGTCACCTCCACCTTTGGGCTATATCTGGAGGTGGGGCCTTTGGAGGTGGGGCCTTTGGAGGTGATTAAGTTTAGATGAGATCATGATCATGAGGGCAGAGTCCCCATGATAGGATTAGAGTCTGAGATTAGAGACCCCAGAGAGCTTTGTTTCTCTTTCTGCCATGAGGATACAGTGAGAGGCAGCTGCCTGCAAGCCAGGGCCAGATCTGCTGGCACCTTGACCTGGGACTGCTGGCTTCCAGAACTGTGAGAATACATGAGTGTTGTTTAAGCTGCCCCATCTGTGGTATTCTATTATAGCCATCTGAGTTAACTGAGACAGAGCTCAAATGAATGAATAAATGAATGAATGAAAAAAATGATGAGAACACTGAGAACCAATATTGTTCCGGGTCCTGTTCTGAGCATTTTATGTAGAGTGATTTCATCCCCACAACAGCCCAATGAAGCATGTTTTACACATGGAGATATTCAGGCACAGAGTGCTAAATAACTTACAATTACTGAGCTAGTATGGGCAGGCCTGTCTAGTGCTCAGTGGAGATCCTGTCTGCACTGGAGAAGAGGTGGGTGCACATCGATGGAGTCCACTTAGGGACAAGTGTGTGGGGGGACATGGGGGGACGCACGTGCATGCCAAATGGAGCTCATCTAGGAATAGGTGGGTGTGTGTGCATGTCAAATGAGCCCACCTGGGAAAAGTATGTGTGAGTGCATGCCAATGGAGCCCACTTGGGTACAAGTGGGTGCATGTGCACACCAATGGTGCCTGGTCCGCCCCACATTCTCCCTGCACAACATGGTAGGTCCCTCAGACATCCTCCAGGAGCCCCTCAACTCACCATTTTCCGAATGGCAGCATTGGAGTGGTTGGCAGCTGTAGAAATGAGCTCCAAGGATCCTGCAGGAGGAAGATTTAGAGACAGGCTGGGGAGTACCTTGTGGCTCCACACACGTCCTGGTCCTGCAAGACTAACAAGTTCTGCCCTGCTCTGCTGTTTGCCATAGGCATCTGGGGCTGCTCCAGAGACCTAGGTGCTTGGGGTTGGGGCATGCAACCCTATAGACACACATCATTTGCCGAGGCCTGGGGACCAGCATCCTGAACCATGCATAGATCCCTGCCCTGTGCTACATGCTGGCCAATGACCTTATGCCAGAGGACCCCAGAGACCCAACAAAGCCCTTCCTGGGGCCTAAGCATTCCCAGCACTTAGTAGCCCCCTCCCCAGAACCAATGTCTGCCCCTCACACTGCAGTGAAAGTAGGGGCGTCTTCTTCTGCCTCAAAGACTCTTGGTCACTTCCTGAAGACACGTTTAGGGGTCACGTGGACATCTCTCCTTCTCTTTTTTGTCTGTCTTTCTCTCTCTCTCCTGTCTCTGTCTCTCCCTGTCTCTCTGTCTCTATCTCTGTCCATCTCTGTCTCTGTCTGTCTGTATCTCTGTGTCTTTCTGTCTCTGCCTATCTTTCTGTCATTCTATTCTTCTGTATCTCTCCATCTCAGTCTCTATCCCTGTCTCTGTCCTTCAGTCTCTCTCTACTGACATGAATTTTCAGCAGTTGCCCCACTCCCACTTCCCAGGAGTCCATTGGCCTGATGGTGGCCCAGCTCACTTTCTGCATCCTTCCGATCCGGGGCATTCAATGGGAGCTGCTTCAAATAGTCCTTGAGCAGCAGCTCGTAGCGGGGGACTCTCTGTACAGGCTCCAGCATGTGGTGCTGCAGCGTCAGATTCCCACACACCTCCTGCTTCTGTGAGGAAGACAGATAGCATGGGGCACCCATGGACAAATGTGTGGACCCCGGAGCCCACCCTTACCTCCAGCCACCACAGCCCTCAAGAGGCTGCTCGGAGCACCTGCATCTGTTGACTGCAGACTATGTATTACAGCAGGGGAAACTGAGGCATGGGGAGGCTTAACAATGGAGCAAGAACCTAGACCCCAGGTGGGCCTGCTGTAGAACCAATGCTGGCTCTTTACACATGTCTTTGTGGAAGAAAATAAATGCTTGGACAAAGACCATCTCCTTCCCTTATGAGTGACTTCCCCACTTACATTCACCCAGTGACCTGAACTGAGCCTCTTCCCCACAATGAGAAGTCAGGAGCTCCCCAACCCTCCCTAGGGAGTTCTAGGGGATCATGCCTAGACACCACCCTAAGTGCCATCTATTCCTCTCCTATAAACATAAGAGCAAGTGTTGGGGGTGCGGGGTGGGGGACTAAGGCCCTCCCAGCACAGACTGCCCAGCACCCACCCTCTTTCTAAAACATAACCTTCTCTCCAGCCCCTCAGCACCTCGTCCAGACACTTTCAGGCATCTGTACTCTAGACCACATACTGAACACCATCACCCACTACCTCTGTGCTCACCCACTGGTGCCCCTGCCCGTGCCATCCTCTCCTCCTCTTCTGATGGATTTCCGGGCACCCGTGTCTTGATTGATAGGCCTGCCTGCCTCTTACAGAATCCGCCTACCCCTATATCTGACTGGGGAGTTGCTGCAATCATCCAGATTGTCACATAGGCAACCTGCCTCCCCCACCCACCAGCCACCCTTTCCCAGCTCAGGGTCAAGAACAAAACAGCTTCTAGCCAAAATGAGCTCAGAAAGCCTTGGACACAAAAGGGCTGGAAGAGTACCGGTCTGCAGCCGACATAAAAACAGTTGTTTCAAGTGAAAGGTATCAAAGGAGGTTGAAGAACAGGACATTTACACCATCTCGAAGCATCTCCCTACAAGAAACTTATTAATAGGGGAAAAAAATGACTTCACCATGGAGAGATTTGGCAGATATTCTCTGAATCAAATGAGCTTCTGCTAGAAGTGAGACAATCGGAAATTGTGTACCACCTGCAGGACAGGGGAGGACAAGACCTCACTCCTGTGATATTTCTGCAAAGACGTACAACTTGAATTGAGTCATGGAGAAACTGTGGACAAACCCAAAAAGAGAGACAGTGGCCTCCTCAGAAGTAATAAGGGCACGGAAGACAAAGACAGAAGGAGACAAACATAACAATGAATGCAATGTGTGCTCCTGGGTTGGTTTGTGGACCAGGAAAAAAAAAAAAGCATTGGGATGACTGGTGATATTTGAATAAGGGCTGGGGATTAGATAGTACTATTACGCCAATGTAAAACTTCCTGATTTTCATCTCTGTGCAGTGGTTATGCAGGAGAATATCCCCAGTTTACATTCAGTGACACAGAGCTATGATATCTGCTACTTAATCTCAAAAGATTCAAAAATAATAATTGTGTGTGTTTGGAGAGAGTGATAAACAAGAAAAAATGTTAACAGTGCCTTATTTTTGCAACTCTCCTGTAAATGTTGAAATTATTTCAAAACAAAAGTTCCAAAAATTTAGAAAAGAAAAACAACAAATATAGGCATCTGGGCTGGGAAGAATAGTGGTGCCATGGGGAGTTTGGGTCTGTGAGGTGCTGGGTGGGCCCATGATCCCTTCTGACAATTAAGGGCAGCAGCCAACCTGACAGTGACCTCTAACAAAACCATGCAGGGCACACGCCTCCTGGAAAAGGAGATTGTTCTGTGACCCCTGTTCTAGGAAATGGGGCTTAGTTCTCCATCTGCAGGAGTGCGGAACCATAGCACCCACACCAGCCTAAATTTCTACATTCGGGATGCCCTGCTCAAGCCGACCCCAATCAGCTCTGTCAATGGGTGACCAGACACTGAAGACTTGAGCGGCATGGCCTCCCAGTGTCTGGTCGCTTGGAACTGTGGGTCAACCACAGGTACAGCTCGAAGAGGCTGAAGGAAACTGTTCCATGGGGAGAGGCGGGAGTGCTCAGATATAAGTGAGGGGTAAGAGTTCAGGGGGTGCGGGCAGAAGGGAGAAGGAGAGACCCAGTGTCAGAGTTGTCCTCTCTGGAGAGGGACAGGGATGCTGAGGGACACAGGGGGATCTAGGACTCCACAGTAGGAAATTACAGCTGACCTGATGGCAGTGGATCTAGGAAAACGCAGAAAGTTATTGAGAGGCCACCTCTAATCCAAGCCTAGTTTCCAAATACTTGGCACAGAGGGCCTCAGTGCCAATTAACCCTCCGGAGTACACTGAGGAGTATGTGTGCATGCATGTACGTGTGCACGTGTGTGTAGTTTATGCATGTTTGTATGTATTTGTGTGTGTGTATACACCAGTGATGTTACGACAAGTGGCTATTCACAAAATTAAAACTATATTCCTACCTCATACCACAATCCATCTGGAAACTTTTAAAAAATGAAGCCATACATTAGAAGAAAATGTAATTTATGAAACCTCAAAAGGTGAGAAATACATTTATAAGTATTACTTCAAAGATTTTTTAAAGCATTACTTAATTAAAAATTGGTGAATGTGGCTAATTGAAAGCCAAAAATTTTGTATAGAAAACAACATCATAAATAAAGTTAAAAAATCAATGGGAAAAAAAATAATTTGTAACACATATGACAGATAATAGCTATTGTAACACATATGACAGATAATAGCTAATGTTCTTAACATATAAAAACCTTGTGAATCAATAAGAAAAAGGACAATGTGGCAGAAAACAACAGCAACGAGATGTGAACAGGCTGCAGAAAAAAGAAAAGATCAATGTAACATTTTCTTAAATGCCTGTACTAGCCATTGAGGGATGCTGTAGAGGAAGAATGGCATTTGGATTCAGATTTTATTAAATAATAGTTTGTGACAACACAGATCGTACAACCTCTTTTAGCCACTATTTCCCCACTGGTGAAATGAGAATGATAATTTATCTCCGGGAGTTATTTTAAGGGTCAAAGCATCAATAGAGCATCTAGACACATCTCACAATAGTACTGATTTTTTCCATGTGAAAACACAAACCCGGTACTGTGCCTCTGAGGCTGGGGCAGGGCCCTACCTGGATGCCATGGACGATATCTCTGAATAGCAACGAGCGCTGGGTCCAGGCACTCACTAGCTCCATGGCCCGATCAAAGTTCTTTACATACTCTCCGTACATCTTGAGGAATGGAGCCAGCTTCTGCAGGATGTCCCCGAGCCGGGGGTTTATGTCCCTTTGTGGGGGAATGAGATCATAAGAGAAATAACTCAGGTGAGGAGTCAGGGTGGGACAGGGACTGCACCAGGGGCTACAGGGCGAAGACCTGACTCCCATTTCTGTGTGATGGTAAGCAAATCAGTCACCCTTAGTTTCCTTCCCTATGTCACACTGTGTAGAAAATAGTGTATTACTGGGAAGCAAATGAGAGGATCATGTAAAGCACTTCACCAGTGCTGGCACAGAACCATTGCTTAGAACCAGGAGTGTTAGTCATGGAGCCACTCTAATGATGGGCCACAGCTATCAAAGAGTAGCAAAGAAACTCCATTTTACTCTTTTCAAAGATTAAGAACAATGAGACGATCTAAGGCTGGCACCATTGTGGGAAAGCAACACTGCATACTACTGATAATGGTTTGGACAGGGATTTGGAAACGAGTTTCAAGAAGCATAAAAATATATTAATAGTCTTTGACCTTAGAACTGTAGGAGAGATTTATCCTACATAAATCACTGAAAAGGAGGAAAAAAAGCACATGCGTAAAGCCATCTGCTACAACCTTTCTAGAAATGTGTACTCAGGGACTTAAAGGCCCACCATCTGCAAAGGCAGGCAGGCAAGCTGCTGGACTCCTGCACCATTATTATACCAGGAGCCACACAGGCATCAATGCACTAACGGCATCTCCAGGGCCTGGAAGAGAAAACCCATTTCTAGCTGGTGTGGACTATGTTAATCAGAAAGCCGGTTCAGCCGTGAGCTTTAACCCAATGGCCTTGGGGACACAGTATAACTGACTCCACAGGTGGAGCCTGTCTCTCTAAAGATTTACAGATTGACTCAGTGCCTGGCTGAGTCTTGCAGATGAAGGGACACACTCCAATCCAGCCCCAGCCTCCACACTGTCCTTGGCCTGGCTGCAAGTTGGAGGACGCTCCTGATGCTGCAGGAGAATGCCATGCTGACTCAAGCCAGAATAGCAAAGAGGAGAGATAGTGAGACTACAAAATAAAGTTGCAGTAGACTCCAGAATGGGACAAGAAGCATGTAAGGTGGAGAACGGCCAAGAGGGGACCACACCTGTGATGTTTAATTATCATGACCTGCAGCTGAGCTGTCCCCCTGCTAAAAATGAACAGAAGTGGCATAGAGACAGAAGGACAGACTCCTGGGGACAGTGGGAGGATCCAAGGTGCACTGTGAAGGAGGCAAATTTAATTTAAAATTTTAAAGCAAAGGTGAAATAAACGCTAAGAGGGAAAATGAACCAACGAGCAATGTTTTCTGGCTGTTTGGTGCCTGCAGATGTCTAACCTCATTCAAATCCCACAAAGCCCAGGGCAGGTATTAAAGTCCCTTTGATTTACAGATGAAGAAGCTAAGGTAGGGAGACACTAAGTAGTAGTGGGGTCAGTGGGGTAGGGTTGGCCCAGGACCTTGCATAGAAGACACCCAGGGCACCATGAGATAGGCCCCCCAAGTACCTGCCAAATTTTAAGGCACACAAACTCCAGATTTAGAGGTCACTTGGCAAAGAGAATTTGAAAAAACCACCATGACAGAATCACTAGGACCCTTAACCGTCAATGGTGTTGGTGTTAAATTCCCTGGGAAATGCCAATCTTCCATTTTGGGGGTGCCATGAGCCACACTCACCACTCCTCTGTGATCCGCATTTGCAGCTCAGGAAGGAGAAACTGCCCGTGGAAGCGGTAGATGGAGGAGATGTTAGAGAAGATACCTGTGGTGACTTCCAGAGGGATCCCTGCTTCTATCAGCCGGGTGCAGAAAACCTGGGCACACAATGGTCACTGAGTATGGGTCACCACGGATGGGATTGTGCTTCTGCTGAGGATGTGGGTACTCAGGAGAGGCTGTGAACACTTCCTCTTTCCTTAATAAACCTTCCACTTCATTAAAGTGGGCCAAACAACCTTAAGGTCTTAAAGCAAACTTACTTATGGCTAAAGATTGGGAGTGAGGCAAGGACGGTTCCCTCCAGATGGGGACAGGCCATCTTTCCTCCATCTACCTCTCATGGGAAACAGAATGTCCTAATTTCCTTTCTCTGCTTTGTGAGCTACAAACAGAAGCAATACGTGTCAACACCCCAAGTTCCCTTTGGAGTTTTACTTCCTGTTCTCATAAACCCCATTGTGCCATATAGATAAAGAGGGTGCCACCCACAGCCCCAAATGTTTATGCAGAAAGATGTCCAGAGGCCATTTACATAACATGACTGCCAGGAAGAAAGGCCCCCAAGGGGAGTGGACAAGGCCTTTTCCCCAGAGCCACAAACTCTGAAAGCAAAAAGTACAAATTTCTAGAGGATACTAAATTCGTCTGAATTTTATTATAGTGATTCATTTTCAACTGTAATGTCTAGCAAATGCTAAGATAGGGAGTTTGCCTGTGAAACTTCCCATTGAAATGAAAAAAGGCATGCCCCAGCCTTGAGGGCTACCTGGTCTAGTAGGTGCAGCCGCCTCACATAGGTTTCCTCGGTGTGCAGGAGCTCCTGGGCAATGTGGAGCAGCTTCTGGGGCTCAGAGCACTGGGGAGAGAAGAGCCACTACTCACCTGGGGAAGATGAGCCTTGAACAGGCAGGTCTGACAAGGGCTATATGCTGTACATCTGATGACCAGGGGTGGGAGGGGCCAGACAAAGCTGTTGAGATTGGAATGTGAGGCTCAGTTCTCACAGATGGAATTTCCAGGTAGTTTTCTGAGGAAGGCACGGACAGCAGTTCCTGCCAATCTCCCAAAAGATTCTGCAGCCCAGAGACAACTCTATCTTCCTGGGTCTTTGATGACAGTGCAGCTGTTGCAGACACATCAAATATATTATGGAGTGATGCCAGCGAGATGGCAGACTAGACAGCTACAGGTCCTTCTTCCCCAAAGAGACACAGAGTTAACAACAATATATGCACCGGAATACCTCTGTGATAACTCTAGAGACCAAATGAGAAACTACAGCCTCCAAATCATTGTAAAACCAAGAAGAGATTCCCACAAATGTGGTAGAAAAACTGGCAGCATTTGATATGCCCTTTCATGTCCCTCTCCATGCAGCACAGTGTGGCACAAGAGGAAGGAAACCCCCTATACAGGGGCTCCTCCCTCAGGATGGAAAGAAAATAGCGAGTTGTGTATGCAATGTTTTGACTTGTCTGGGGGCTGCCTGAGGGAGTAGTTTCTGTCTTGTATGACTTGGAATGCTGACAGGACCAGCGCCAGAGTTTGAAAGCCACTGAAAACAGAGGCAAGTAGCACAATCGAGCTGATTTTCTACTGGCAGGTGCCAGGGGAGTGAGAAATCAGAAAAGGTTTAAGAGGTCCTAGGATCTCCAGCCAGGCCAATTGGTGGTCTTTGCCTTTACAAAGCTAGGATGCAAAAACTGAAGAGGTATTGTTTTCCAAATGCCAAATTCCAGCAAAAAAATTCAAAGAAACAGGAAAACATGGCCCAATCAAAGAAACAAAATAAAACTTCAGAAACCAACCCTGAATCAGGAAAATGATTCACGAACAACATGAGAATATCAATGAAGAGATAGAAACTATAAAAAAGACCGAAATAAAAGTTATAAAGCTGAAAAATACAATAAATGAACTAAAACAACTCATTAGAGGGGTTAAACAGCAGATTTGATCAGGCGGAAGAAAGAGTCAGCAAACCTGAAGATAAGTCATTTGAAATCATCAAGTCAGAGAAGCAAAAAGACAAAAGAATAAATGAAAGCAAAGAGAGAATCTAAGGGACTTGTGGGACACTAACAAATAGACCAATATATGCATTATGGGAGTTCTAGCAGGAGAAGACAGTGAAAGGTGCAGAGAGCTTATTTGAGGAAATAATGGCTGAAAACTTCCAAATCTGAGTAAACAAATGAACATACAAATTCGAGAAGCTAAAGGAACTCCAACTAAGCTAATTTAAAAGAAACACACTGAACTACATTGTAATAATAAAAAAAGAGTGGGATAATATATTTATTATGCTAAAAAAAAACCTGTCAACCAAAATATTGTATCCAAGAAAGCTGTCCTAAAATGAAGAAATTGAGACTTTCGCAAATAAACTAAAGATGAAGAATTCATTACCACTAGACCTGCTCTTCAAGAAATGTTAGAGGAAGTTCTTCAAGTTGTGAACATGGTAGACAGCAACATAAGCTGTATGAAAAATAAGATTCCCTGGTTAAGGTAAATGCATAGACAAATATAGTAAGTGTACTGTTGTAATTTTGATAAATAGAATTTAAATGATATAAACATTTAAAAACTAAATATTTATTAATGGGCATGCAATATATAAATATGTATTTGTGACATCAATAACACAGTGAGAAGGAGGGGGAGCTATAGAGGAGTAGAGTTTTTATTTGTAATTGAGATTAATTTGTTATCAGTTCAAAATAAAATGATATATATTTAAGATATTTTATGTAATTGCAATAGTAATGACAAAGAAAATATCTATAGAATATACACAAAAAGAAATAAGAAGGAAATCAAAGCAAATCAAATTTCAGTGAAAAAAAAAGGAAGGCAGTAAGAGAGGGACAAAAAAGCTACAATATATACAGAAATCAACAAAATGGCAATAGTAAAGTCCTTTGCTTACAGTAATTACTTTAAATGTAAATGGATTAAACTTTCCAACCAAAAGACATGAATTGGCTGAATGGATTAAAAAATAGTATCCAACTATATGCTATCTACAAGAAATGCACGTTAGATTGAAGGATACACATAGGCTAAAAGTGAAAGGATGGAAAAAGATATTTCATGCAAATGGTTACAAAAGAGAACACACGAATGGACTTTAAATAAAAAACTGTTACAAGATACAAAGAAGAACATTATATGATGATAAAAAGACCAATTTACCAAGAAGATATAACAAGTATAAATATTTATGCACCAAACCTCAGAGCTTCTAGATATATGAAGCAAACTTTGACAGAATTAAAGGGAGAAATAGAAAATAACAAAATAATAGTGAGAGACTTAAATACTCCACTTTCTAGAAAGAACATGCAGATAGAATATCAGTAAGAAAACAGCAGACTTCAACAATACTGAAACCAAAGGGACCTAATATATACAGAACACAGCAGAATATACATTATTCTCAAGTGTATGTGAGACATTTTCTAGAACAGACCACGTTAGGCCACAAAACAAGTGTTAACAAATTCAAGAAGACTGAAGTTATAAAGCATCTTTGCTAACCACAATAGAATAAAACTAGAAATCAACAGCATAAGGAAAAATGGAAAATCCATGGATATGTGGTAATTAGACAACATACTCTTAAACATGAGTCAAAGAAGTCACGAAGGAAATTAGAAAATACCTTGAGAAAAATGAAAATGAAAACACAATATGCCATATTTACGGAATGCAGCAAAAGCAATGCTGAAGACTGTTTATAGCTGCCTGTGTAGACAGGCCTAGAGTTTGCACTTGCTCTCAGGATCTGGGAGACTGAGGCAGCCAGCTTCCCTGGAACACACCTTGAGAGTCACAGGTGGTGGTGCGTATAGTAGACACATCATTTATTATTTTTTTATTTTATGATGTTTTGACAAATTGAGGCCTTGCTTACCCCGAAGGGACTATCCTTTCCAGGGACAGCTGATTCCTAGAGATATAAAGGACCTGCCTATAAGCATGGCTTTCATATATGCAAACCAGCCCATCCAGAAACCACACCCCAACCATCCCCTTTATATTTGCCCCTCCAATAGGTTGCCCAACTCCTTTGATGGGTGAAAAGGTTGGGGATACACCCAGGCCAAGCTGTGGTGAGCAGACCTGCTGGGTGGTGATGGCAAGTGGACACACAGGAACAGGTACCAGACATCCAGTGACAGCCCCTGTGCCCAGAGCCTGCTAAATTATTCAAACTGGTCAATCCTAAATTTACTCAACTGCCTCACCTGTTCCTTCCCTCAGAAACCACAATAAAGTCTCTTGCTCTCAGTGCCCCAACTCTGCCTCTTGACTGACTCTGTGCTTCCCCATTTGGCTCCTATGGCATAGAATGACCCCTCCTCTTGCGAACTGTGAGTAACCAACTATCTTTCACTGGCCATCATTTCCTGGTCTGGTGGCCTCACCATATTCAAATAATAATAAACCTCCATTAAAACATGACCCAGCCTGTCCCCCAAGAAGTTGGCTCACAGCAGTACAAGCATGCAGTTGTGCTTTACCTCCAGGCCTGTCTCCCCCTGCTGCCTTATTAGCCAGCACCATCTCTACCAGGAGCCAGCAGGCCTGACTCATCAGATGCCACATGGCTTTTCTTGGAATTCAGTCACTTGCAGCTTATCCGTGCTGTTCTCCCCATGCAAGGTGGTCTCTCTAAGCCAGAGGTTATCTACTTTATTTTCATGTCCCTATGAGTCCTAGCACAGAGCACAGAGCCCATGATGCTAGAGGGATGCATAGGAGCTTTCTGTTCGAGCCAGCCCACCATACCTTGGACACAGCTGTTCCCAAGATGTCTGCTCAGGGCTCCATGCATGTGCATAGGTTCCCTTCCCACCTCTACCCCTCCCTGTGGGCAACTCTGGGATTTTCTCCTTTCAAAAACAGGTGACACTCTCTCTGCCTTTCTCATCAGGTTTCTTCAAGCATAGGTGAAGCTCTGGTGGCAGCACTTTTGCCACTAAGACTGATGGTCAGTCCACCCTGGGGGTCCCAGTGCCACTGTGCGGCCGTGGAAACCAGACTCAGGAATGAGGTGTTGGGGAAGGGAGGGCTTGTGAGGTCCTCCCCAGGGACTGCCTGCCAACCTGTCGAAGGGGCCTCTCCAAGTGCGGTATCTGAGTGGGCTCCCAAATACTAGCAGCAGGTGTGGGCAATGCCACTGCAAACCTCAAACCCCTTGAGGAGTACCACCACTCCAGGGCAGGGGGCAGCCTACCTTGGCCAGGTCCACGTTGGCCCTCGGGCGGCTGTCCTTGGGCTCAGGCTCAGGCTCCTCGCTGCTGCCCTCACCCACATCACTGTCGGCCTCCTCCTGGGGAGCCTTGCTGTCTGGGGCCATCTCTGGGTGCAGCCTCAGGGCAGTGGGCCCTAGGCCTACCTCACTGCTCTCCTTGCAGGGGAAGGGCTCATTGGCCATGCTGCAGGATGGGCTGTCAATCCCACTGTCCCGGTTGGGAATCTTGGCACTGCAGCTCAGCTCCCCCATGGAGCCCATGTCTGGGGGGCCATCCACCACAGCATCCAGGCCACTAGGTCTCCCAGGGGCAGGGTCTTCGCAATGGGTTCCAGGCCCAGTGGGCAGCTCTCGGAGCTTCCCTGGGTCTGTGCTGGGCAGCTCAAAGGAAGAGAAGCCAGGCCCAGCGTCTGGGTCCCCCAGTGTGGCAAAAGGGGCAAGGGCTGTTGAGGACCCTCCTTCTGACTCCATCCTCAAAGCTGAGCCCTCTGAGTTCTATGGGGGTGGCAGGGCTGGCCGGGTTACAGGGGATTCCTGTGGGGGAGAAATGAACATGGTCAATGCCAGCTGGGCCATGGACCAGCTCCCAAATGCAGCCCCCAGGTATAATTCCCCAGAGGAAGTCAACATGAAGGTGGTGAGCTGGGCCTCGTGTGAAGTGAACAAATGGCCAGCTTCATCTGGTTCTCTCTAGACAAGCTTTTGGGCAATGGCAAATGGAAAGCATTGTATTTTAAAACAAAAAGATGGAAGAGAGTGGGAAGGAAAGAGAAAGGGAGAGAGTGAGGAAAGAAGGAAGGAAGGGAAGGAGAAAGGGTGAGAGAAAGGGAGGAATCCTGTAGTATGAAGCTACCTGTTGTTCAATGAATTCAAAATATGTGTGCAAAATACTAGCAAGAAGCATCATGAACACAGTGGATCAAGTCTATAATATGCTTTGACATCCACAATTCTTTATGCTATGATGTGGCCCTGGGGTGAGGCAGGATTCCCATCAAGATGCCTCCTCACTCTCACTGCCAGGCGACCAGGCACCTTCTAGAGACCTCAAAGCTGGTCAGGCCTCAAATTCTCCTCCCCACATGCACTGGAGCTTGGGCTCTCACAACATGCCTGTCCTGGACACTCTCTCTGAGGAGAGGCAAGTTCATGTGTCATTCTAGGTGCACAGAAAATGTACAAGACATCAGCTGAGGAGAGTCAAGGATGGAACTGGACCAAGTTGAGGTTGACATTCCTTGAAATCTTCCTCTTAAACCTGCAATGGAGCTGCAGAGGAGGACAGAAACCAGGAGCGACAGTCACTTATCCCTAAGGGATAGGCCATTTACCTGGTACCCACAGACATCCTTCTGAGGTCACTGAAGTGGGCAGGCAAGTGCCTGGCTCCCTGCTGGCCAAGTTCCAGGAGTCTAAACTGGCCGTCCAAGGCCACTCTCAGGACTGAGGGAATTCACTGAAAATCTTTCTTGCTCAGCAGGTTTGAAGCATAGCAGTTCAGGAGGTTCTAAAACAACATGAAAGGAGAATAAAAACCACCTTTCCAGAGCAGAAATGGTGACAGGCCCAGTTCTAAATGGAGAAGGTGGAAGAGCAGCATGGCGGACCCTGGGCAGGTCACAGAGGCTTGCAGGGTGGATGGAGCTCGCTGCTTCCCCAGTCCCCAGCACAGCGGCCCCTGAGGCAATGCCCCGTGGTATGGGGCAGCTCCTAGGGCCCAGATTGAAACTCTGGGGCCAGAACTAAATCTGTCCCTGGCCACATGGTGCCCACACCAGGGAGGCAGCGTCCCCTTGAGTATGCAGAGCCCATCCAGTGCAAGGAGAGCCGGCGGGCACCACCACGCACCTCCCAGCCCACACCCTGAACACCTTACTGACACCCTCCCAGACATACTCCCTGCATTCACACTCTCACTCAGCTAGGCTGCTAGTAGCTTCTTCACACATTCTACTCTTCATTCGTTAAACAGAATAAAGAATCATCAGTGGAGACGCAGATCTCATATACGCACAATCAAGGTATCCCAGAGCCTGCTGCTCACTCGCTCACATGGCAAAAATGCCTTCGAGCAGAGTGCAGTGGGAAGTGAAGCATGAACCCAGGCATCCAAGCACCAACTCAAGCCCCTACCACAGCCTCTTTGCCTTCTCCTGTGGCCAAACTACTTCTGAGCAGACCTTCCTTTAAGCAACACCAATATCGGTGCTAGGTGTGCATTTATCACACTGCCACTGCCACATTCCTAACAAGCTTAATAGGGAGAAATACTAAGATTTCTAAATAGAAAATACATGGTTTGCCACATTCTTCTCATAGCACAGGAGATAAACTCGAGTTTCCACAAATCAGACATGACACAATAGTAAAAATATGCCAGATGGAATGCGGGCCACACGCTTAGCCTCGGTGTATCCAAATGCAGTTGGTTGACACCAGAGAAGCCTGCTAAAATCCCACCTCAGGGTCTCCTGCTTCTGGTCAAGGGGCAATAACAAAAACTGGAGTTAGTGTCTTGCCTGAAACAACCAAAACCTGGACAAAACATATGAAACAATAGCTTGAGAAATACCCTATACCAGGCAGCAAAGCACTGTGTTTCTGAGAGGTGGTAACTGGTGCAGCGTACCCTCTGCTGACCCAGCTTCCTGCCCAGGGAAGGGGACCCTAGGTAGACCCCTGAGCGCAGAGTCCAGGAACACCAAGGCAGCTGGAGGTCATAGAACAGAGCACTGGGGAGGAAAGTGAGGTACACAGAGAGAGGAGAGTTGAAGAGGGGCCTCACATATGGCTCAACACAGGTGTGTGGAAACCACGAGGCTGGAGTAAGAACTTCCTTCGGGGGTAGAGGGAACATCACCTGGAGGCAACATCATCTGGCACTCACACAGGGAAGGGCATATGTCCATCCCCACCAGCCAGACTGGAAACTTCAAGATCCATAGGGCATTAGAGAACTTGGAAGGGTTTTGCCTCAGTGTGGGGAACAATTATTTCCACAATGAGCTCTGCTTGGGTCCTACCTAACAGATATTGATAAATTTTAACAAAGCCCATTTGTTTACAAGCAACTTAACTATATACCTGAATCACACTCAAGAACAATTATAGGCACACAGACATATCCAGTGCCTAGCAAAGTGAGATTTACAGTGTCTGGCATGCAACTAAAAATTACCAGGCACAAAGAGCAGGAATACACAACCCACAGTGAGGAGGAAAATCAATGAGGTGAAACTGACCCATGGTTGGCACCAAGGTTGGAGTCAGCAGACGAGGTCATCAAGGTAGCTGCAGCCCCTGCATTCCATCATGTTTAAAAGGTCAGCAGAGACGTGGAGTATATAAAAAGATGCACATCTAACTTCTGTTACCCACCAAGTGTGAGATCAACACTCACTGGAAAGGATCGATGGCAGATTAAACATTGTAGAAGAAAAATGATTAAATTTAGAGGGACAAATAACAGCTATCCAAAATGAGAGAGAGAAAAAGAGAGAGGGAGAGGAAGGAATATTTTTTGAAAACCCCTCCGCCCCGCAGCTTGTCTACCATCCTATAAACAACATTGAGATTCCGTGTGATTTATTCTGTACCCCAGGAAATTGTCTCTACCGCCCTCCAAAGCACCAGACTTAAGTCAAATTGGAGTCAAATTAAGCTGATGCCCCCCGCCAGACCCCAGCAATTATTTAATTCGTCTGAGCAGCATAATACATGTGAAATCCCAAAAGAGGGGTGAGTAGGAAAAATATTTGAGGAAATAATAACCAAATTTTTCCATATTTGATGGAAATTATAAATCCACAGATCTAAGAGGTTCAGTGAACACCAAGCATAAGAAATGTTTGTATTTAAACATTTTCCACAGAGAAAACTCTAAGCTTAGATGGCTTCACTGGTTAATTCTATCAAATATTTAAGGAAAAAATGATGCCAATTCTACACAAACCTTTTCAGAACATTCATGAAAAAAAGGATGCTTTCCAACAACTGGATCAATCTAGAAATAATGATGTCGAGACCAAAGGGAAGGTACCTACTTGCTTATCCATTTACATAGGATTTTAGGAAATATACACTAATCTGTGGTGTCAGAAAGCAAACCAGTTGCCTGGAAGGGGGGGTGGGTATGGCGAGGTGTGGGGCTTACAACAGAAAACAGAAAGCTTTCGAGGGGTGACAGAGGTGCTCATCATCTTGGCTGTGGTAATAGTTTCACAGGTATATACATATGTCAAAACATCAAATTATGCACTTTAAAAATTGTGTGTCAATTATATCTCATAGAAGGCGACATCTCTGAATTGTACAAACTTGGTGAGTTGCTGACATTCCCCAGTATCATTTTTCTTATTACAGAAAGGACAGTGAATCACACAGAGGATGGTGGTGAGGCTCATGGCAGGCCCACAGCCTAGGGAGGCTCTAGCAGCGCCAGTGCCCACCCAGACGGTCCCGTCCAGAGGAGAGGGGTGTACCTTTTCACTGGAGGCCCTTGAGCTATGACAATTTTATTTTCCAAGGGCTTTTGTGCAAGGGAAGCCAAAAATGCTTGGCCAGACTGGAGATCCCACGGCTCAGGGAGCAGAGCACAGGGCTGGAAGAGGTCCTGCATGGGAAATAGCTGAGACAACCCCCGATCTGATTCGAGAAGCTGAGGGATGCAGCCCACACCCTCACTCAGCTCAGCTTTGGTCTCCCAGCTGCCTTTCCCAGGCCAAGGTAAGCACCAGAGCAGGCCAGGTCAGTTCCAGCCTCCCCTCCATGTGCCCACATGGCCTCAACTCACTGCTGAGAGGAGAGGAGGGAGGCTTTAGGGAGGGGACACACATGTGCACATATGCCCACACATATACACATGCCTCCACAACGCACACCTATGCACACATACACATATACATTTAAACACACACACACACACACACACACACACACACACACACACACACACACACACACACACACACACACACACCATGTTCCAGAAGGCATGCTGAGCAATTTCATACAATTGCTCAGTCACAGGCACTGAAGTAAGTGATGTTCATGTTTCAAACAAGGACATCGAGGCTGATCCTGGCCACGCTGGCCTAGAGGGAAACAGACCCTAGGACCTAGGCCTTCCAGACATGCCTCTCTGAAACCCTGGACTAGGCTCTGGGCTCATTATGACACTACAGGAGCTGGGAAAATGTCACCACATGTGGTGCCGGTTTTCTCTACCTGGCTACTTGCTTTCCCTTTAGAAGCCCTGAGCTGCCTGAACTGGGTGAGGCAGACAACTGCATACCCCAGGTGAGCCCAGCCCAGGTGAGCTTTGCCTGCTGCAGGACCTAGCCAGGGCCCAGGTCCCCCAACATCTGAGGCTGCAATCACCCAGTATCAGAGGCCTGACACTGGGACTGGGGGAGGTACAAGGGCTGCAGAAGTATGGAGAAATTAAATTTGCCCCACTCTCCAGGGCATCATGGACCATTTAAGTAGCTCCATATGCAGCAGCCAGTGGACAGGGCAACACGAATCCCGTGGTCTCTGCCTGGAGCCCCTGCACTGCTCGGTGGGATGATCCCAAAGACTGGCCATAAGACTGCCCACCACCCAGCTTCAGCTGCCGCCAGACATCTCTGCAAGTACAGCACGGGAGCCCCAGCTAAAACCACCACCACACCCATCTCACTTGCTGCCTGTCATCTGGCACCCTGGAAGTCCTGAGCAGGCAGGGACCTCCCTGTCTGGCCACCGATGTGGCCCAGTGGCCCTGGCACATGAAACCCAAGCTGACAGCCCCCAGTAGCCACCAGAGGTATGACCCTGAGAGAAGAAGCCTTTGGAAATGTTTCAGCCCTGTTTGGCAACAGCCCCAGAGAGGACTTGAGTAAGAGACGCTCAGCTGCACCCTGCCAGGCCCCAGAATCGTGAGACACGACAATGCTCAGTGGAGTTGCTCTTTACTCCATCAAGTTTGGGTGGTTGGCTACATACAGGAGTTAATTAAACAATATTGTAGTGCCACAGGGGAATACCAGGAACCCCTGTGTGGCACACGCCTGTAAACAGATCACAGACTGGGAGACGAGCCTGCAGAAACTGAGAGGCTATATCAGCAGTAAGAAAGACCCAACTGCTGGCCGTGCCAGATGGAATGACCAGTGGCCAGTCAGCAAGGCTGCCCTTTGATCCAGAGGTGCCTTTCCTCCAGGATCTTGAAGCACAATACTTGCCTTGGGACCTCAGCCTGGGAAGTGCTCTGGTTGTAGCTGGCATGGCCTGGGGTGTCCATCCTATGTGCTGAGAACACGGAGATAGACACAGATGCCATGAGGTGCCACATGCTTCAAAAATCGGTGGAGGTCAGTGGGAACTCGGGGCAGGAGGGGGCACCAGGGCAAGCTGAGAGGGGAGGAAAGGAGATGAATCAACACGGTACTATCCCTGCTTGCTGGAACACCCTGATCAGACACTTCCCAAACAGCTCACACTATCACATTCAAAAGTCACCGTTACTTTTAAAACTGCATCAGTGATGCATCCTTTTTAGAAAACAGAAATTATGGATAAATAAAAAGGAAGTAAAAGTTACTCGTCGCCCTAGCACTGGTATGCCTGTGAGTGGACAAATGCCTGCAGGATGAATAGCTCGGTGGGGGTCCTAATGCTTCTAGGTGTGCTGTAGCTTTTCTTAGAGAAGCTGCATTTGTTTCAACACTGAATTCCAACATGAATTCATTGTATCCTCAAAAAGGCATTTCTCTCAGACCAATTCAAAGAAGAGACTCAAAGCAGCATTATTAACAGTAGCCAAGAGGTGGAAGCATCCCAAAGGCTCATCCACAAAAAATGAATAAACAAGGTGTGATGTATCTACAAAATGGAATATTATTCAGCCTTAAGAAGGAAGGAAATTCAGACGCATGCTACACCTGGGTGAACCTTGAAGACATTATGCTCAGTGAAATAATTCAGTCACAGAAGGACAAATATTGCATGATTCTATTTATATGAAGTCCCTAGAGTAGTCAAATCATAGAGACAGAAAGTAGAAGGGTGGCTGCTGGGACTGGGCAGGGAGGGGAGTTACTGCTTAATGGGGACAGAGTTTCTGTTTGGGAAAATGAGAAAGTTCTGATGATGGGTGGTGGTGATGGCTGCACAACAAAGCGTATAAATTTAATGCCATCGAACTGGACATTTAAAAGTGGTTTAGACAGTAAATTTTGTTA